GCGGCCGCTCCCGTCCCTGTCCGGCGCCGCTTCACCTGCAGCCCGGCCCTGCCGGGAGCCTGGTCCCCGCGCCGAGCAGCGCCAGCCCGGCGACCTCCGACGGGCTATGCCCGGGTGGCCGCTGGCTCAGCACGGGACGCGCTCCGGGGCCGCAGCCCGGTCGCAACCTGCCTGTGATCGCAGCTGGGTGGCTGAGCCAAGGATCTGTGAGAGCCTGTGACACTCTGCTGCAAAAGCTACACCTGTCCAAAGAGCTGGTCCTTTAGCTTCAGTAGCGAGGAAATATACTTGGTGCCTTCTGCGCTTGAGCATTGATATCCACGTTCTTACTCTGGCTATTTTAATGGGATGTTGTGAAGAGGCACCTGTTTGATCATCTGTTCAGTTTGTTTCCTTCACCAACAGCAGAGCCCAGGCCCCTGCCTGATCAGGTATCTCATTCAAGAGAGAAAGAGAATGATCACTTTAACATCTTTTTTCCTATGTATTTTTTTTTTTTTAATTTCTACCTTCAGCTATTCCCTGCTCTGCAAGAGCTTTGAAATGCTGCTACTTTTGCTTGTTTTCTAGTTTGCTGTTCTCACTTTGTCCATTCCTCCCACTTGGCTGCAGGTCACATCTGCTAAACCCATGTACAGGTAAGAAGGTCCCCGTGAGGACCGGCAGCATAGCGTCAGTCACTAGCTCCAGAAAACACTTGTGCCCCGGGCAATTTGCTGCTGTAATTTAGAGTGAAGGTGAAAAAACAAGTAAGCAAACAAAACCAACCAGCAGCTCCACGCTAATCAGAGGGGGTCCAGGATAATAACCACAAAGCATGAGGGCATAGGCTACACTGTGAAAAAGGAGGAGGATAATAAATACAAGAACTGCTTGTAAAATTTAGCAGCTGAAATAGAAAGTTCTACAATGGATATGTGTAACAAACCCCAGCTTTGTTTAAAATCTACAATGGAGCTAATGATTTTATACCCACCACCTGGTTACACTGGTCATGGAAGGTGTTCTTGACGTATTAAAAAGCTATTTAGAAGTCACAAGTTCAGAACCTCACTAAATGAACACAGAAAGGAGATGTCCTATTCCAAAAGGCTCATAATCCACATTAAAAAGACAAATTTGTAGTGGGAGGAAAGTGTATTATGCTGCAGATGGCACTGAGAAAGAAACCGATTTGCCCAAGGTCATGCAGGAAGTCTGTGGCAGAGCCAAGAACTAAACACAACGCTCCTGAAACCCAGACTAAAAATAGTGCTTGATAATTGCACATGAACTCCAGAAAACACACATTACACAGATAATCATCTTTTGACCAGTATTTTGGAGTTATTGGGCTCCAGTTCATTATAATTTTCAACTGCACTGATAACTGAATGGTCACTTTCTAAATTTAAACCACATTATTTGAAAGTCCTCTACCCAGAAATTCATACTGTGAAACAAAAGGCACTAACAGATAGCATCTGGGCCAACACAGATGCTTTCTGAGTGTGTTTCCTTTTGCTACCCCTTTCCTCAAAAGGAACCAGAGCATGTTCAAATCTTAGTCCTGGGAGGGGAAAATGATCCTGTTCCTCACGGTGTTTTCCTGAGGCTCTAAAGGGGCGGTGTAGTCCTTACCTACACTTTGCCTGGTAGCAGTACCCTGGATTTATTCCCATATTCCACCATCCCCTGTCTGGCCACATTAAAATGTGCCCTGGCATACAGCTTTCGTTTGTTCTTATGTCAAACATGTCTCATGTTTCAGAATGTGCCTTCCATGCATTCTCTTCCTATTCCAGCTCCCTCTTACAGGTTTTCTTAGACAATGCAGAAGCGTTTCTTGTGATGCAAAACCCACACAAGATGAAAACAACAGTAAAACATCATGTGGCACCCTTCAGGCACCCTTAGTTGTCACTTTAGGAAAGTTATTTACACATATATTTAGTGGATTTTACAATGTATAAATGCTAATGAGTATTAGTAGAAGCTGTTTTCCTAATTAATCAATCCTACCAGCATGGTAATGATTTCTGTTGTTCTTCTGGAGCTTCCTCCAGCAGGGAGTGAGCTCTGTTGATTAACAAGACCATTTTGCATGTATATAACATTTTTGTTCATCTATAACAATCTCATTATCTTTTTTTTTTTTCTTTTTTTTTTTTTTTCCCAAGGAGGTGAGCAGTTCTCAAATTATGCTTAAGGAATAACTAGGGCAGAAAGAATCGTGTGGTCTCCCATATCACCATTTTATAGTTGTGTATTTGTTAGGTTCAGTAAAATTTACACTATTGTAAAAGATGATTCAGAGCAGGTTGAATAAATTCTTTACTCTGAGGGGAGTGAGGCACTGGCACAGTTGCCCAGTGAAGTTGTGGATGTCCCTGAAAGTGTTCAAGGGCAGGTTGGATGAGGCTCTCCACAATGTGTTCTGGTGGAAGGTGCCCATGGCAATGGCACTGGAACTAGATGGTCTTTTAGGATCCTTTCCAATCCAAGCATTGTGTGACGTGATATTGGAAGGTGGTGATTGATGTGATTAGTCTCAGAACTGGGGGCTCAGTGGGGGCCTGCTCGCTCTCTACAACTACTCAAGAGGAGGTTGTGGTGAGGAGGGACCCAGTCTGTTTTATCATGAGAGGACTAGAGGAAATAGCCTTAGGCTGAAACAGTGCAGATTCAGATTGGATGTTGGAAAAAACTCTTTACTGATAGGGTGCCCAGGGAGGTGGTGGAGTCAGCATCCCTGGGGGTGTTTAAAAGGCATGTGGATCTGGCATTGGGTGGTAGTGAAGTGATACAGGGGTTACACTGGTAGTGCTGCTTTGAGAGTTGGACTTGATGATCTTAAAGGTCTCTTCCAACTCTAACAATTTTATGATTCTATAATTTTATGTCTGGTTATTAATGTCATCATGCTCTACAGATAGAGACCAGGAAAAGGCTTTTAGGTTCTCATATCCTGAGTTTCAGGAATTTCTCCTCATTTTCCTGCCAAGAGAGTCAGATTCAAGAAGGTGTGAGTAAACCACTGCGACAACAGAATATTTAATATTCTCTTATTTAGTAAATTGCATTGAAATTATCATAAATAATTCAGCTAGTATAAATAAATATAAATTCAACCGGAAAGGAAAGATTTTCCCAAAGATCCAAGGTTCAGGAGACAGGAAGGCAAGTTTTAGACCTGATGTTGACTGAATCAGTAGTGAGCTATTGAAGCTTAATCTCAGCATAATATCATAAATTATGAAACATTGACATTTCACTTTGAATTAATGCAAAAGAGCTATTTATACGCTGTTTTAGAGACAGTTGCTTGAACAAATTAATCCACTTTTTCCATCACCAGGCCAAATGTTAACAACACTGCTATTTTTCAAAGTATCAAACTATTTGCATATTGGAACTGTTTTAATACAATCTGTCCCCCAGGGCTGCTGTGTGAGTTACTTTGAAAAGGTAATCAGTCATAATTCACTGGCTCCTTAATCCATAATCTAACTTGATTCAGTATACTACCGGTGATTTTCAGTATGAGAGATTGCTTGTTTTCATGCACTTGCTTTCTGTTTGAGAGCCACAGGCCACCAACGTAGGAAGAGACATTCAATGGGCTACAATTGCCTTTCTGGGCTTGCTACCAATAAAAGGTCTGGATAGCAGTGGAAGAATGAGGCATGAGCAAGAAGCAAAAATATTCCATATACTTGCCTGAATTTTGAACTTTGAATGTGAGTACATAGCAAGACACCATTATTGCTCATATGTATATGTAGACATAATAATGTATATTGTATGTATCTGCATATGTACACATAATGTGTATTGACAATGCTTTTGTCTTTCTTTTTTGTTCCTTTTCTGAAGGGTGAAAAGTAGAACACTGAAGTTACTTTTTGTGAGACTGTTTTTTACAGAACAGTGTTTTAGATGTAATTCCTGTAAAGTATTTGTTAAGAAAGTGCTTTAGTACCAGATGGTTAGACTTACAAACAGTGCTTAAGTACTTCACCAAACTGAGGTTTAAAAGAATTAAAACAATTACTTGAAATGTCATACAAATGATACAAAAATCATTCATCACCTTTTGCAAATTCCATGAGTTTCCCTGTGAATCTTGTTCATTGTGAACAAGATACTATAGTATCTCCTGCTCAGAGCCTCTCCTTTATCTTACAGACAAAAATCTTCTGATTCAGAAGTGCCTCAAGACTGATGTGAACAAATCACAGTCCAATATCCCGTATGTGGGTTTCTCTCTGACTATCTGATTCCCTGTAGAATGGCAGCCTCTTGGTCATACCAAGGACTTCACTACCAATTTCTTGCGGCTTTTTTTGTCTCTTCTCACTTTTCCTGACAGTGAGTAGCACTAGCACAGTGTTAGGAAAGTTAACAAGTAGTGACAGTGCTCGTAGACTTCTCTAGAAATACGATGTGGCAGCACAAGACAGATTGATGGTGACGACACCAGAAATTTGCTTCAAGGCCATTCTTCACATTTCCTCAAGAAGCAACATTCCTACACAAATGTTATTCAAGGGCATTGCAGGAGGGTCAGCAAAAGAGGGTTTGCAGGAATAATTAAGGGGGTAGGTACAGCACAAAGCTTATCACTAGCTTACAGTGCCATTCAACCAGAAAGATCTGTTAATGCAAGAAAAACTGGATCAGGGTTTTGCCAGATGTCTCCAACTCTTTTAGAGGCTGCAATAGGATCACATATCAAAAGATCCATTTTGACAGTGTATATTGAAGTATTGCCTTGTATTATGCTGGATTATGCCTTGCAGCACAGAGTTATTAGCATTTCTAGCAGCTGAATGTCAGAGGTTTGACTTAAACTCACAGAGTGAGATCATCCCATGTAGAAGGGAAACTTTCAGTTTGGTGTGTCTGGCTTTTTCCATTTGAAGGATGCAGCAATAACAGAATCATAGAATATCCTGAATGGGAAGGGACCCACAGAGTTTATTGAGTCCAACTCCTGGCTGTGCATAGGACAACCCCAAGAATCATACTGTGTGCCTGAGACCATTGTCCAAACCCCTCTTGAGCTGTGTCCGGTTTTGTGCTGTGACCAGTTTTTCGGACAGCGTATTCATGAAGGACTCAGCTCTGACTGTTTAACTTAAAGTTTGCTTCTCTCTCTGCTCTACTTTGCTCATCTCAGCCATAACCCAGTCTCATTCAAGCCCAGCTATGTTTATCACTGTCTCAAAGAGGAGTGCATCAAATCCACAGACTCCCTTCCCAGGGAACAGACCTGCCAGTCAAAGAGGGTTGCGATGTCATCAGTGAGCTGAAGGCAAATCACAGGAGGTGATGCTGGAACGCTTACCCTCCATCAAGGTAATAGTGCATTTGATGGCTGGATCTAACGTATCAAATCCTGCTCACGGAAAATTGAGAGCAGGTTTTGTGGCTTTTTTTTTTTTGCTTTTTGTTTTTTTTTAATTTCATTGAAATAGATCTGAGAGAGGAAGGAACTGCTGTGTAGAGCCAGAAGTTTCCATTCGTCTCAGTTCTGCCAGCAAGTTTCTAGGTAGCTCTTGACCTTTACCTTAACCTCCTTGAGTTTGATTTTCCATTTTGAAAAATTAAATACAGAGTCACCAGAGATCATAAGATAAGAAAAGATATATTTTTGCAAGCTTACCAGTCAAATTGCAGTTTGATTCCCTGTTTTACTACCTGTGTGAGATTTTAGAGAAATCATGGGATGTCTCTGTGCCTCAGTTTTCTCTCTGTGATACAAACCCAGAAACATTTTTTGTCTGTCTTCTGTTTTTAGACAAATAAACATATATGTTGTTTTGTATTTTAAAGTGCTTTACCTTCTAGATGTCTCACTTTGACTAAGGTCCTTTACTTTTATTAACAGGTACAATAAATACTTCTGCAATTTCTCCTTGGAGCACTCTGAGGTCAGTGGAAATGTACAGCATCAGAAGTATGTTAAATTAATTAATGCAAGAGACAGAATTAAATGAAAGCAACTTGATTTTATAAAAATTGTGAAAGGTTCTGCAACCAGACAATAGCAAGTTGTAAGGATCAGGATACCATGCAGCATGAGGGAGGGATTGATCTTACCCACAATAGCTTTGTACAGCTTTTACTGTTCATTGTACAAAGAACTGACTCCAGTAAACATTTAAACATGTGCTTAACTTGATAGACATGGATGGCTTTTTTACTTCAATTTTAATGCACATTTAAGCTTAGGCATGGCTGTTTGTGGGGTGGGGATTTAGTATGGGATTCCCTGATTCTTTGCACACATGATTTCATTAGGTGTTGTCTCCTTCTGTAGCACTGCCTTAGGGCATGAGCCAAGCCTGGCTGAAGTCAGGGGAATTTCTACAGATTTTGATGGTAGTTGGACTGGACCCTTTATAGGAAATAAAAACAGATTTTGTGGAACATAAAAGCAAAAAAAAAATCCCCCTAAATTTGTGGGGATAAAATAGTCATTTCCTGTTTTAGGACTAGAGACTTTATAAATCAAGCTTCTAACCAGAGAAAAATTTTACCAGCTGTACACTGAGCTGCTGAAAATAAAGAGGAAGTATAACACAGACTTAGCAAACCCTTAGTTTTAAGTGAGCAGAAGGAGTTGCTTGGCTGTGCATAACAGTTCAGCAGGAGGTAATGATCATGTTTATTTTGTGTTCACAGGTTCTTTTGCTGTTCTATGCTTTCATGGTACCAGGTTTAAAAAAAAAATCTAGAAAGTATATATTTACAAATGCCAGCTTATCTGTGGTTGCATGCCATAGCTGTCATCTCACATCAGGTGAGATGGCTTTCCGTTGCCATGCCAAGCAATCCTTGCTTAATTTGTATCACAGCTCCTGTTCCTGCTGTTGGCATCAGCTCATAATAGAGTTACAGGATTAAAAACTTGTCATTCCTAAAAGCCTTCTTGGTAATGAACAGAGTATGAGATATGAATCTGAGTCCTGTTTGATTGCATTGTTACTCTCCTCTTTTGGTGGCCGCATTAATGACAGGTTGTCAGGTGCATTTTGTAATTCCAGTGCTGGCTTTGCATGCTGCCCTCTGCCCCCTGCTTCCAGCTGAATCATTCCTGAACCACAATCCCTGGTGCTTGCACTCAGTGAGATAACAAACAGAATTGTTGGAAAGCAAGGAGAAAAGAGATGATAAAAAAGGGGAAAAAACAGATAGGGGCTGGTCATCCAATATGCCAGCATTGGATGACTTCAGTAAAGACAGGTAAGAATAGTCAGCTGTATAATAGGACACAAAGAAGAAATTAGGGACCACAAAAGGTAAAAGAACATGAAATGAAAGGATAAAATGTGATAAAAATAATTCAAGACAAATATGGCATTGTCATCTTGGGATGTCACTGTGTTTTAAGTGCTGGTACCTACTGCATGCAAGCTCCTCAAAGTCCCCAACAGACCTGGGAAGAAGTAAGATGACCCAGCTTGGGAAGTGTTCTGGTTTTCACTGCTACCATTTTCCCAGTTTTCTTGAGACAGCTGCAAAGGTTGCTAGTCATCATACATCAGAAGGTTAGTTACTCTCTGGGGGTTAAGGGAAGATCCAAAGGAAGTACAAGGGCTGAAGATGTTTAATAGTGCCTTGTTACAGATGATGCAAGTTTTGAGGGCAGTTTGCAACTAGAAAGGGACCTGGTTAATTGTTGGCTGTTTAATACCCGCTGAAAATCAGGAAGCTCTATCACTTCCTTCCATCTGGGAAACTGAATCACAGTTGCAACTCTTACCCCAGGGCCACAAGGGCAGAAATGGATTCTCTGGCTTCTATTAAGATGCAAATTGAGATCTTTTCCACTTTAGAGAAGTGATAGTATCTCTTTGTAGAATGAATTCTTTGGTATCTAGTAAGTCTCTCTCAATCTTTTTTTCCTTTCTTGCAACATATTTTCATAACTCTTACAGGAATTTAATATCTTATAGATCCCTATCCTTCTAAACAGGGCTTCAGAAGTTTTGGGAGCAGACTGCCCGACAGAGGCAGTAATGCACAGTGTGACTGAACAAAGCCTTGTCTCAGCAAACCAGTATGCAAGCACAGAAAGCAGAGGATTCATTGAGATGTGAAATAGGGAAACCCTCAGTGTGTTTGACTTTTGTTATTTGCACCTGCTGCAGATAGGGCCCCTGACTGATGTCCCTTTGCTTTCAGTCCTCTGTGGTGAAATGGCTGTGATCCTCAGGGAGACCAGCCTGGCCAAACCGATACTAAATGCAGTGGTACAAAAGGCTCTGCATCACCAACCATGCAAAACAGATGTTCTTTGCTTTCCTCCATCCAAACATGCTTCATCCAGCCACCCCTAAAAAGCCAACACAAACCAACACTCTTATCCCACCCAAAAGAAATCCCATCCTCTTCCCTAATCCCTAAAATCCCTAACAGTTTTTTTCAGACAGAAAGGTGTTACAATCTGAGCAGATTGTTAGATGAGATTATGGCTATTTCTGTCTCATGGAAGAGGTAGCAACCTGTGGGAAAGCCATATCCTGAAAGCAGCATGAGCTTCTTTGCTATATTTAGGAGGCTACCTTACAAAATAACTCAGTAGTCTCAATTAAAGAATGTATTTTAGTGCAAAGAAAAATAATCTTTCTAGTAGAAAAATATGAGGTCTTTTTAATGTCTTTGTTCCACTCTGCAATTGCTCTTTATATTCCACAAGGCTTCTGGAGCCATTAGGGTGTGTGACATTCACACTATAAGGTTGTCAAGGCACTTTTATTTCATACATGTCAATTAGCTGTTGGGATTAACTACACACTGGGGAGAAGCAGCAGTGACAAAGCTAAAATCAGTCGGAGAGGAGAGGAGAGGAGATTAAGAGATGCACTTAGGAGAGAGCTGGGGAAAATGGGGAAGAAGAGAGCTTGAGGGACATGTTGGGCCACCTGGGGAATGATGCTTCTGTGAGAGATACGTTAAAGGCTAAAACAAAGTAAAACCTGACAAGAGTGTTTTAGGCACTTGGGGCCTGGCCTTCAAGAAGAGAGCTCAGCACATGGTTTGGAAAGCTGGAGGCAATTTTTTGGTTGTGTGCATCCTAAAGATTGATAATGCAGAGTTGTGATTCAAAAAATCCCAATAAGTTTTACTGGAATCCCAAGGCAAAAGCTGAGACTATGTCCCTCTGAACTGCAGGATTCATCATACTGTTATGTTCTCTTCACCATCTGAAAGGCAGGAGCTTATTGTCATTTCATCTGCTACTTGAAGGGCTTGAACATAGCAAGGAAATGTCCTGAACTAAACTAATAAAAAGTTGGGGAAAAAAAAATCTATATATTTGTTTTATCAAGCATGAATTTCATGTGAGAATTCCTGGATTGGTCTTCACTGGAGATCAATCAATTGATAAAGTGAAGTGTCACACTTCAGTTATGCATTGTGACAAGAACTGGGGATTTTCTAGGCTGGACCAAACCAGACCCCATCAGGATTCAACAACCTGGCTCTGAGCGTGACTGTCCCCTGATGTTTTGCAGACGGAGGCAAGAAACAGCCTAACAGATGATGAGGGAATAACTTGCAAACAGAAAAGTTTCTTCTGGTTGACTCAAGAGCCATTGATTGGCTTCTGTCCTGAGGCATTACGGTTTATATCCCTAATATATTTTTATATTGCCTAATAAAACTGTTGGCTGTTGCCATTCCGTGGGTAATGGACATTTATATAAAACTCTTTATGAGCTGTAGATGGGGATCATCCTCTTCACCACACACATGAAGCCACCTCTGGAGTACAATGCAGTAGGTGTTTAATAGCGTTGGCTCTATAGATAAGCTGTAATTATATCAAAGAGGAAGAACGACTCCTCATCAAGTCAAGCATGCTTAAGAAATTTGGAAAACCAGATTTTGCTTCTCCTAGAAGAAATTAGATCAAAACAGGGCCTTTCTGTGCTTCCTGGAAATCAGTAAGTCCAAGGAGTCTGGATTTCTGTTGTGTATTGCCTTTAGAAAGCTAGAAAAATAATAGAATTTTGTGTAGCATGGAAGAGTTCCTTTCCAAGCATCATCTGCTGTAATTTGAGAGGAATGGGAGATTTCAGCATCCCCTGAATTAATCCAAATATGTTTCTACAGTGAGATTTAATGTAGAAAAAAATGTCTGCTTCAACACTTTTGCCTTTTTAGTAGTATGTTATTTGGTACTCCTTATCACTCAAAATAATTTAAATAATTTTCTGTGTTTTTCTTTTAGTTTGGCTTTTGTAAATCACAATAAAGTATTCCTCTAGGAATGAAGGAAAGTCATCATTGAAACTAAACATGATAAGGGATTGCCATTTCCTTTCACATGGTTCAAAAGACAGAGTGAAGTATAGATACAGAAGCTGTGAAGTCATTGCTCTTGGTAAATAAAGGACTGTCTGAAAGAGAATCACACATCAAAAATATTAAATAAAAATCAGTTCAGATAATATTTTCCAAGAATCAACATAGCATTCAATACTGTGAGAAAGGAATAATTTTTACCTTGCCTGGTTTATACAATCTGTAAGATTTGATGCAAAAATCTGATGCAAAAATCAGGTATTTTTTCCTGACATTGCTTTTGTACACCTAATAGCACTCATGTTAAGATTTCTATCTTCAGAAGATGGGAGGTAGTTATAATCTCTCAAGGATAAATATTCCCTTCCTATGTCTTTTGGGAAACTGAGAAGGGAGCTTAAGTGGATTGGTGAGGGCTTCCTGTACCTGAGCTGGCATTAGAACAGGAGAGTCCTTGTCTCACAGGTTTTCCATCCAAAACGTTAGAGGGGAGTTATGCCCATACCATTAATTTCCCTGCCTTTCTTAACTACATGCCATCATTATAACATATCTTACCCATTTGAGTTAATCGGATATAAAACATTAACTTGTGCAAATGTATTAGAGCTTCACCAAAGAGCGCTCAGAGATATTACAGGGTAACATCAAAATTAACATGGAAGCAGTTTAGTCCTTCAGTTCAAATGCCTTCAGCAAAGGATTAAGACTTTCCCATCACCACTCAAGCACTTACATAGTCCTTGCTTATCATACTCCCCTCAGTTACTGTGCTAGTTACTTTTTTAACATAAAAGGGATGCTTTCCTTTCATTCCTGATAGCTGCATCATTCAATTAAAAAAAGCAAGTGACTGTTTTTATCAATGTGTGGCTTATGCTTTTCTCTAGAAATTACCTGTAATGTTCAGTTGACTTAATGTTTGTGAAGCTTCACCCTGTTGAGGGCAAAGACTGAAAATAAATGCTCATATAAGAAGGATTATTGGGTGGGGAAGGCAGCGTGTACTTGTATGTCCCATTCTTTGGTGAGACCTTTAGGCTGGATTAGCATAGGCAGTGAGAGAGCACAGACTGGGAGTTCTGAGATGGCAAGTGTATCAGTGAAAGCTGGAGACTGGATTGGGACAAATAATGGGGAAAGTGCAGTCAGGAATATAGTCTTGCATTGCATTGCACAGGAGAGCATGCACTTTAATTTTGATATGAATTTTCTCCCTCACATCTCTGACCACAGAGCAGGTGTACAAGTTTGTTAAATTGAGTGAGAGGGTCTTATCACTTTCAAAAAGGGACATTCACTTGGTGGGTGGTCAAAGCTGGTGGCTCAGTGATGAGGTAGATAGACATTTCAGAAGTTCATATTGTCTTGTCTGCAAAGGTAGTGTCAGAAGTGGCTCCACGGTGTGGTTATTGCAGTTCTCTGTGGTTCAGAAGATACCCTTAGTGTCTAGGAAGGGACCTGGAGTTTGGGGTTTTCCTACAGGAGGAGTGCAAGAACTGGGGAAGCAGATTTGCAGAGAGAATTTGTGTCAATGTGTTTGAACTGTCCTATGTCCCCAAATTTTGCCCATTAAAAAAAGAAAAAGAGAATAAATTGAGTATAACAGCTTGAATCTGCTTTCCATGGTGGTGTTCTCCAGTGTTGAGGCTGGTAGGCAGCCCTGTCTTAGAGTTTATTTAGGCTTAAGAGACACTTGGAGAGTGTCAGGGCATAAAGCTGGGGAAGTCTCCAAGGGACAAGATGTGCTTGATGTAGTTTGGGCTGCTACCAAGGGGATGTCTGATTTTTCTCTTGGGCTGTGCTTGTGGAGATTGTTGAAGCTCGAGTGGCAGGGGGAAATGTATACGGATACTTATTCCCCATTTCTCCCTCTCCAGGTGTTTTCCAAGCGGTGTGATATCTGTCACAAAGTCAGATGATCTGCAGTGCTGCTGACATCAATATGTACTACTCACATTTCCCCACAGCACCAGCAGCCTTTGGTCTGGCATTTGGCATCAGTGCAGAGGGTGTGGCATCCTCCCCTCAACACTGGCTGGTGAGATCAGCTGGAAGAGGACTGCTCTGTCATGCTGGGCTGGCTCCAGACTATTAAGCATTTTTCTTTTTAAACCTTATAAAACTGGGAGGCTGCCACCAAGTTGTCTGTTGGCCTTTGATCCATGCTAACATCTAATCCATGGCTAGAAGAAGGTACTTGGCCTGGGACGCATAGTGTCAGGGACTCTCTGACAAGTTAGCAGTCTGGAGGACTGATTTCCAGTGCTTGAGAACATTCCTGGCGCTATTTGTAAGCAGAAGTGTATATAAGCTTACAAGCATATGTGTAAGCATACTCTCTAACTACTGTTTTCCCACAAACCCTGTCATTTTTCAATGATCCTTCATTTATTCAATCCAGATAGGAGCTGGTTCCTTTGATTTACATTTTTTACACTCCTTCATGCTCCTGCATATTTTAAATCTGCAGAGAGTGTTTGTGAACTTCCAGTCTGATTGCCCACGTAACACTGCATTTCCCCATCAGTCGACAAAAGTGATAGTTAAATGGTTAAGGCGTTCCCTTTATAAGCAAACAACCTGTTCTTTTGGCTCTTCTTGATGCACTTGGAAATGTTCACTGATAGATTTAAATTAGCAGGATACCACTTAGAATGCAACTACACCAGCTTCTAGTCTGCTTTCATTTTGAAACAGGGCTTCTGTGCTCATATTCTCTGCGTATCTATCTGTCACTCTCTTCCCCTGGGTTTTTTTGGCTTGTGCAATTTCAATCACATTTAGCAGTGGTCCCAAAGAGATTATTTTTTGACAAGTTCTAATATAACAGAGGGTGGATTGATGAGAGAGATGCTGTTAATATCCCTGGGATAAGGGCCACAACATGCACTCAAGTGTTATTAAGGCACCAAGAGTACATCTGCAAGGCATAGTTCCATAGGAGACCAGGCTTCCTCAGTTTCACTGACTACAGATACTGCATGTTTTGTCCTTATCTACCAATCTGACCATAATATTCATCTTCTGGATTTCTTCCCGATTTATTTTCAAATTCATTCCCAGTGGGGGTCCTGTATGGTTGGGATTTCTACTTTTTCTACTCCTATGTAAATCTGAACAAAATTCCTCGATCTGATTCCAACAGGCATTTTTCTTTGAAAAATTACTTTGATATGAACACAAAAGTAGCATCACTAGGCCAGGAAAGCTCAAAACTTTGTTTTTCATGCAAATGAGTAAGAGTCTTTCAGCAATTTTCAGCTTGAATGTCTATTCTGTTTATGGATCACAGCAGAAGGAAAAGAAGGAAGTCATAAAAATATTTTTGGAGTTGAATTATAAATGGAAAAGATGTTCCAGAAATCACCTCTGCATCACTCAGTCTCTGGTGCTGGCACACTGTGCCTCGGGACTTGCTGCTGGGTTTTTGAACAAAATCTGTAAACTGGAAAAATAAACCCGTTTGTGGCTCTGATTTTGTGATGTCTATGCACTGAACTGGATCCTATCAAGTTGGAACAGCCTTCTTCTGTAGCAAGTGGCAGAATATGAAGCAGCTGGTAGGTACAAAAAAAAAAAAAGGAAAAGAAAAAAGGCATGAAAAAAAAAGGAAATTAGAAAAATCTCATGCAAACACTAGAGAATCATCCCCACAGACGTTCCGCTTGCCCAGTATACTTTCTCAGTGCCAAGCCCAATGAAAATCACACCACTTTATTAAGGTAAGCTGCTTTCCAAAGACAAGCCTGGCATCTCTAGGCTCTGTCTGAGAGAGCATGTTGCAGCCTTAACACACCATGAAGATGCCCAGATGATGGCAGGTGGGTTTGGGTTGCCTTTTTTTTTTTTTAATGAGAAGTACTACCAGATTGATAGCAGAGAGTTTACTGTCCTTCTCAACCCTACTCTTGATGACAAGTGGCTTCCTTTTAGATTAACCCTATTGAGATCACCCTGCTGTTAGATTGTCAAAAGTGTCTCAGCATGCAGGAAAACCTTGTTTCATGGATTTCTTTCTTCCTCTGTATGTGTGACTGACACTGAAAATTCACCCAAATAAATCTTCAAGATGTACACCACAGGTTTCATAGCTGTCACAGAGTAGCACTTGTGGCCTTTCAAGAGCTATTTCACCCATTTTGGGGCTAAAAAGAAGATAAGGATTCATGTGTCAGGAGCAAAGAGGGAAGGCTGCCTGGCAAACAGCATTGCTCTGGAAGGTGCAGGCAATGTTGCTGTAAATCAGTGAATCCAGGGGAGGAAAGTTCTGGTTACAAACTGGTTCTGGGAGTACATGTTGTCCGTCAGACAGGAGACAGGCTGAACTCAAACCAGGTCAGAAGAGAATCACAGAGTGGTTTGATTTGGTTAGGAAGGGACCTTGAAGATGATCTAGTTTCATCCCCCTGCCGTGGTCAGGGACACCTTCCAATAGACCACATAGCTGAGAGCCCCATCCAGCCTGGAACGGTACACTTCCAGGGGTGTGGCATCCATAGACTATCTGGGAAACCTGTACCAATGCCTCACCACCCTCATGGTAAATAATTTCTTCCTAAAGTGTAATCCAAAACTGCTCTCTTTCACTTTAAAACCATCTCCCTTGTCCTGACACTTCTGGCCCTTGTAAATAGTCCCTTTTTTGTAGGCTCCCTTCAGATGCTGAAAGGTCACTGTTAAGACACTCTTTTCTGGGCTAAACAAGCTTGATTGTCTCAGCCTTTCTCCCTAGAACTCAGGTTGAATTTTTTGCCTTTTATTCTGGTGGAAGTATCTGGAAGGGGAAATGCATGAAGTTCATCATCTGGTCCATGCTGGGGTCAGGATTGCTTGGGGAAAACTAATTTTCACAGGTGCTGTCTCTAAGGGCACTCCACTGGTTGCAAGTGCCAAAACCACAGATAATGATAACTTCAAAAGGCATTCAGAAGGTTGAATCAGATAGGAGTGGCTAACCCTTGGTTAGCTAGGTGGGTGGACTGCATCACCACTCTGTGGAGTCTATGTTTGATGATTTGCTTCAGCTGCTTTGTGTAAGCTGCAGTACAAGATCTGGTCAAGCATCATCTCTGAAAGACGCTCCTTTTATGAAAGGCATCATGTCTGGCTGAAAGGCGTGTGCTGTGTTTGAGAAAGGTTTATGCTGTTGGTATGCAATGGTGATTGCAGTAGAGTTTAAAATTACAAGTTTCTCCTCACAAAATAAAGGCTGAGAAAGTAAAATTCAGATTTTGGGACATGCCTTGTCAACAAATGCTACTCCAGGCACCAGAAACAGGTCCTGGTGATGATTGCCAGTACAGTATGAGTGTGGGATGAAAGAAATAGCTTTCTGTTTGATATCACTGCAGCTTGCTGATAAATACATCTTCAATTTCTGGAAATCAGTAGCTAATCATGCTGAAAAATCATAATTCTTTAAGAGTGTAAATATCTTTAAACAGCAATTAAAAATAATTATAATTCAGAAGCTATCACATATTTGAGAATAAGAGTCAGCTTAGATGGACGTGTACATGCTGCAATTTGAGGAAAAAGTTATGCTTTACATTTTGTTTTTCAAGTACCACATTTTGTTCATGGGTGTGGCTTGCCTCTTAAATGCCTGCCTGTTGATCACGTTTAAGTGACCCATGCCAGCTGAAATGGTCTTAGAGTATCCCTGTCCTCTGCAGAATGGTAGGAAGCACAGCCTGTTTTCTGGGACTCGTGCTTGTATTTTGGGTTGCAGCCCCTCCAGCAGGTTTTAACTTTATCAGTGCTTTCAAGGAAAGTTTTCTGGAAAAGAATGGGTGTTGTGTCTATCAGATTTACTGAATTATTTTTTTCAAGAGCTAGGCAGGCTTGAAATTAAAGTAACAAGCAATGAGTTAGCAAGATTACCTGCTTGATTATGAAATTGGTTACAGAAGGAAGAAACTCATGGAAGTTAGCCTTTGATTTTACTTAAATGCATGCTTATCCATAGCTCTTCCAGTGCCTCAGTGAGACACTAAAACAGAAAGCTGCAACATTGTCAAATTGTGCCCACCACTGTGCTTGCTTGGTTCAGGAGACATAAAGACATAAAGCTTCAGTTTCCTGCTTTCTTTGATTAAAGTTTTTTTCTTCTTTAATTTTGTTGCATGTCTTATTCCAAACTTCTCCTGGTTATTTTAGATAGGAATATAATATAAAAACTTGTGCCAAATACAATCATGATGGCTCATGGTCTATAGGACTGTGTTCTGCTGCTGTATGCAGTTCTCTTGTAATTGAATAAGGAAATACAGATATAGCAAGCTGGACGTTCTCTCTGTTCTCAAGGTGTTTCTCCAAATTTACCTCTTGGTTCTATTGCACATTTGCACAAATTTTTGCCATGCTTTATAAGCCACACAAGAGTTTCATTTTACAAAGAATTTGGCTTCAAACATTTTCTTCCCATTACACTGGGTATTTTTTTTTATCCCCAGGCTGTGGTGTGATGCCTTTCCTGCTGCTGACAGAGCTCTTGTGGGATGATCCCATCAGCTGCTTCAGGAAACCAGGTTCCTTTGCTGGTGCAGCACCTGTCATTGTGAAACCATACCCTTACATGTTATAAATGGCCATTTCTAATTCCTTCTTTTGAAAATCACTTGAGAAAATGATGGGCTAAATTAAACAATACGTGTGTAGTTACAAAGCTAATTTGAAATGCATGTAGGTACACAAACTCTAAATACAGGTACATAAACTTGAAAAGTGTTTCACATTCTCCTTGAAATTTGCATCCATAGCTGATTTATTTTGGGGGTGACATAGGTCTGTATGCCTCATACAACCACATGCTTAAAAGGTAAGGAGGATTCAAGTCCTGTAGAGGACTATGAAGAATTTTGTCTTATCCTTGAAAAAGTTTTGAAGATGGTTACTGTCCTGCTGTTTCTCAAAAATTGTGAAAGTGGTTGTAATGGCATTTGAGATCCTTTTCCAGCCGTATTTCCAACAATTTCTATTATCCCCTTCAAGTAGTTTCTCAGTTTCACTTTGGCTTTTCTTTGAAAAAACGCATACTGTGTTAATAACACAGATGACAAATAAAGCATTTTGAGTAATTTTTTTTAAGTTACTTTCTCTCTCTCTCTCTGACAGTCTCTTTCTGTCAGGTTTGGGTTCTGCCATCACAGCCATATCATTTCAATGCCCCACAAAAAATTTGCTCCCACTTCATCAATAGATGCCCTAAAAATACCCCTAAAACCCAGACTGTGGATATATAATGCCAGCTCTGCTTTTGTGTCTGCTTTGGTTTAGTCTGTGAGGTCCATTGTTATGGACACCTGTGGCCCTAACCTCTGTCTGCCTGCCTGCCTGCCTGCCTGTAAAAGCCACTGGGTAGTTTGGCCTGGCTGTTAGGTACTGAGTAGACATAAGTTAAATTGATTTAGCAACATGCAGTGAAAATGGCTGCGACTGGTTAGGCAGCTTGGATCAAGAAAGACCAAGTTTTTCCAAAAGGTTAGGAAATGGACTTGAACTTGACTGTGAAAATAATCATACCTAGGTAGCAGGACCAAAAAGCAGCAAGGAGAAATGAGAAATATAAGATGGTGGGTCCAAAAAGGCTAAGAAAGACTGGAAGCAGCAGAAAAAGGTCCAAGGATAGGACTGTGCTGATGAAAGGTACGTCCATTGAAAAAACCTCAACTGGCTGATTTTGTTATTTCAGCTTTTTGAGAAAGCTTTGACCAGAAAGGCTTTGTGTTTTCAATATGGTTACAACTGTTCAAATCCTACATGTCCTAAAGTCAAGTTTGCAACCTAGAGCTGAGTCATTCCTTGCACTGGAGAAACATCACTGAGGTGCAATGTCATTGTCTAAAGTCAAGGAAATCCACAGGCTTTTTCTTCAGCCTTGGGCTCATTGCAGCAGAGGAGCTTAAAAACAGAGCATTTGATGCATGAAGGAGTCCCTATAATGAGGGCACCTTGTGTTTCTCCAGGAGGTATGGTTAATCTTGTGCTTTGCTAGATGTGTGCTCCAGGATGAACCCAAGGCCATGAAGTTGGCATAAAAAATAATTTTCATTTTGTGTTGTTCTCTGACATGGGAAAGGCTGCATTACTTTAGTGACACAATCATTCATAGGAGGATGAATTCCTATAGAAATGATACCCACATACACATACAGAAATGTAAAAAAGAGCAGACTTTTCAACACAACATTGGCTCTTAGTGAGGTCTTAGTTATATGCAGCTGAATACAGGAAGCTGAAGGCAAAGTGGGACCATTAAATCACTGAACTTCCTGCAGATAACAGGGTATTTAATTTCATTCAGTTACCCTGCATGAAGACCAAAACCTATGTTTATCTGATGCACAAATTCAGGAAAGATGTAGAGTTCTGCTCCAAAGACCCCAAACGGTGGGGGGTTCACCACTTCCTTTAGTAGTTTGTTCAAGGTATTAAGCACTTTCAGTGCTTTAAAAATGTGTGCTTAATTGTGATTTTCTTTTTTGTTTTTATTCTTTAA